TGATTTCTATGAATCATCAAGCTTTCTTTCAAAATAATACCATGTATTTGATAAAGTGTAAAGATAAATAGTTGTATTTAGAGTAACATATCGAACAAACCATTGATGTTCATCCATTCAAAAAGAACTTCGAAATGAATTAATTGATTGATTGATTCATTCTTATGTACTTTGATCCAAAGAAAGTGTATCTTTCATTTCCACTCGAAATACTTTAAGCTTGAACAAATAATTACGAATGTTTTGTTTCCATTGATAAGTATTGCTTAAGTTACACCATGAAATGATACCGAAAATACGTGGATTAGATATGTCTCCTAAAAAGACAATAATTTTCGACATATCATTGACGCGAAAAATGGTAGTGCGTACTCAAGCAGATATTAAAAAGTCAAGGATGGATGAAACGAATGATTGATATGTGAATAGATATATTTTTCTCGTCTTGTTCGAATTCTGATTTTCTCGATAACTGGCCCCAACCTCATCGAAATTGAAGTGCTGATCTAAAATAAAACTCTCAAAAAAAATTTTGATTGCTCAGTATACTTTTTATTGTTTCAAGTTTTTTGAAATTCGTTTTTTCAGCTGAGTCTCTACCTTTATTTTATGATACTGATGAAGAAACTTTTAGAGAACATTTTTACGTTTTCTCAATATATAAATAAAAATATCTATTCTCCAAAGCTACAACCGTATTAGTATTATGTCAGCGTTTGTAAGGAAAAGATAATCAGAGTAAATCATTATCTTTTGAACTCCTGAAAATTTTCAGGCACTTGAAATCACACTGCTTTTTGAGTACTCGATACCAAAACAGTCAATCAAAAATATTTATAAACTGCAAGGCTATTTTCTGTCTTCAAAACTATTAGAATAGGACACTTATGTATGCTAGTCTCAATTAGATCAATTAAGTGACATTTATAGTTATTCTGAGTTGAGACTTTTAACTGCTTTTTTTAGTCAAATAAATTATAATATATTAAAATTTTTGGTTTAAGTATGCATCTTTTATTCTGTACAACAAAATTTACTATAGACCAATTTGCTTTGTTAAATATTCATGATAAAAATCTTTTCACGTATTTTTTTTTAATTAGCCAAAAAATATTTTAAAAAAATTTCAAAGTTCAATATAGTATTTCATGATGAAACAATCATTTATTTAAGATTAAACCGACATGTTTAGCTTATCTAGTTTACATATAAGCACCGTAATCGTAAGTACATATATTTAAAAATTTTCAAAAATATCAGAGGTCATGATATCGACTACTTGAATCTTTGCGAAATTTACCCATCGAATAACTGAAATCGATGCACCGACAATGCTCATCGACTGGCAGCTCGAGCTACCGGGAACAAATGCAAAAGCAACCCATTGCCGAGCTGTCGATCTATCGGGAAATGGCAATTCAATGACTCGATATAAAGTTCCGATGCCCATCGTACACTGAAATCGACGCGTTGAAATGTCTATCGGATGACTGACTGGAGTGGGTGTGAGTGTAGCTATGAGTGTGGTAACAAAAGACGCACCCACATCCTATTTTGCTTTTGTGTTTGATTCAGATTCAGCACGAAGAATCGAATCGTATTCGTAACAATTAATTTGACGCTTCAATTTTTTACTAAATATCGACTGTTAGAAAGTGTCAAAATCTAAGAAAAAGAATTCTCGAAAAATTTAACGAATTCTTGGTGAAAATTTTAAGAATTGGATAGGATACAATATACATTCACCTAGGCATATATTTCGTTTCTTCCTCTTAGATACTTGAAAAGATTCTTATATACATTATGAACAGACATAAGAACTTGTTATTTGAAGATATTTTGTTGTATCTAAAGTGTATCGTACTACTAGAAAATATTCATTTATATTTCCAACCAAATGAGTCCACGAGAATTCACTTTTTGAGAATAAATTTTCGAAAATATTTTATAAAAAACTTTTAGGAGTACTTGAAAGATTATAAATCTTTTTTGAAATTAATGATATTAGACTATAACAGTATTACTTAAGTATTGTTTAAAGCATTAAAACTCAGAGTACTCTTTGTTTATCATTAATAAAAAAAGAAAAAGATCAATGCATTTCATGTTTATAATTGAGATATTTAAGTTTTTCATCGTATTGTTATTCATAAGCCGTAATATATAGAACTGAACAATTAATAAATTATGAACGGGGTGCTTTGAAAAGAATTCGTAATAACTTCAAAGGTTTAGATTTTAACAATAGTGATCTGCTGCAAGTACAAGATCTATAATTGGTCATTGGACTACAACGACCAGTTTTATATGCTAGACTTCTACAATGTAGTCGACATCGAGATTCATTTCTATCATTTGGTCCATTGCAACCAAAACTACGAATTTGACGTACTGCATTGTCAATGTTCTTCAACACTAAAAAGTACAACACATACATTATTTTGATAGAAAATTGACTGTATTTCACTTATTACCATTGAGGGAAGAATCGAAGTTGTCAATCGTCCAAACTTGTATTACCAAAGCAAGTAAACAAATTATTATCACGAGCGATTTGTAGTTCATTATCACTATATGAAAAATAAAGTCAAACTTTATTAGAACATTTATCTGCATTTCACACAAAATGGTTTTATGTCATTCTATAGAAAATTTTAATAAGGAAGCTTGTTTCTTTATACTTTAAATATAATATTTAATTGTTGATCTCTCAATATTTGTCAATGATTGATTGATGAATATACACGACGAACAGATTGGCAGATCTAATACACGTAAGTGATCAACCTAACAAAACAAAAATATATCTTATAAAAAATAAATCAGGAGTATATATTCTATGATGCACAAATTGCGTTTTAAATCGAAATTATGTCACACAAGAATCTATAAATCGCGATATGCCCACAGTTCTGCTCAAGAAACTTCCATGCGTCACACTACCCCATGACACACTTCCGCGCAGACTGAGTTTTTTTCTGTTCTGTTTGTGTTAAGTCAGTGCATCGTTAATGATTTCATTCACTATTCGGCGAATGTGGCTGTCTGGTTGTCATAAGGCTGTTTGAATAGAATGAAGGGTGTGAAAACTTTACCAACGAAGACCATATTTCAACACCAAAAACCCACACTCACATTTGACAGCCGTATCAACAAACTAGTTAATGAAATTTTAGAAGCTATATTAACTGGACGTAGAAAAAAATGAATAATTTCATTTTGCACAGAAGTTTCGTGTTACGAAAAAAAGCATCTGTTCGTATAAATTTTATGAATCATTATAATTTGCATAGGTTTTCACTTCTACGAAAAAGTTTTTGTTGTTAAATGACTGAAGAAATTGGTTTCAAAGTTATACAAATAAGACTAACACATGATTTTTACTTTATCCAATTAGTATGACTATCTCAAAATTATGAATGTGAAAGTTTTTATAGTAAAGTATATTGTCAGGTTTATTGATAGATAAAATCATTTTTCGTATATGAAATAGGGTGTGGGTGGGTGCAGGTTTTGTTGAAAAGAAGATTCACACCTACATATGTGTTCGTGTGAACAGATGAGAGAAAGAAAAAGAGCGAAAACATCAATAACAAGTATATAGATGACAGCGAATCAGCAGATGAGTCATCGTAATAGGTTTTGCTTATCATCTTGTGTTGAAAATGTCTTTTGAATAAAATCGAAAAATCCATAATTTTCAAACTCCAACAGTATCATTAGTCAATGATTTTTACGACAGTCATTCAATTTCTTTTATCTTTCATCATTTCTACTGTCAATTTTCCTAAATTAATATGCATCCATTTGCTTGAAATATGACGATTCGGTCTTTTTAATCCTATGGCGATGTGAACAATTGACAAAATGACTCTAGAAGGCAACGTATGATATTGAATTCCTCTGCATTTATCTCATAAACAGCTTTTCTCCTCGTTTCATACAAGTGCACCTTCTGAAACGACCATTTGTCTGTCACAAGCAGGCACTCTTTTTCAAACATCAATGTCTCCAACATGAATTTGAATCAAGACACAAAACCACCATTCAAATCAACCAAGAATTACGAACAGCATTTGATGATCTTGAAAAGGCACTCAATTCGGTGGAACATTATTGAATCACCCAACATCTACACAACACAGCCAAGAGAGGAGGATATCGAGCTTCAATTTCTTGGTTTCAAAATTGACATAGAGCAAGATTTGTTGAAACTTCAACCAGTATGCCACTCATCCGTCTTTCAAACGATCTGCCGCCATATTTTCTCTGCGCCACAACAACATATGCATTTGTCACGAACAAAGAAGTTCAAGAACTTATCGGACGATGAAGGCATAGCACTGAAAATCACTAAAAATCAATAATAACATTTTCTATCAGCTAAGTTGTTAAATGCGTCGACAACGATTCATTCTAGCTGTACTGTGCGCATCTATACTTTCGATTTCTTTTGTCTTCATCAATGGTTTCGAAGTGTATGAGAGGGCTTTTTACTCAATCAGTGAGTGTTGAAAAAAAAGGTGGACTATCATTTCTACTTTACTACTGTTGGATAGAATAGTCGTGTATTGTGTCAAGTGTTGCTCTCTTTTCTTGTTCTGTTTTAGCGAAACAGTTTTGTCTTCACTTAAAGTTGATATCTAGTCATGATTGTGCGCTGTTTAGTCAGTAGATATACGTCTCTTATCTCCTGTTACAGGCATTTTAGAAAAATTTCTCTTTGCTATCCAAGTTACTTGTTGACACCGCAAGATAACCTGAACATTATCGAAGCATCAGCCTCATTTGCTTAGCCACATTTTTCTTTTTACTTGAAACATAATACTTCCATGGAGACATATTCACTACAAAATCGAACTGTTAGATGTTCTAAAATTTTGACAGGGAGCTCAGCCCCCCCCCCTCTCTTAGCTCATTCCCTTCTGCTGGCTACGCCACTAATCCTTGCATGTACATCCTTTGTTAGTTTGTCTTAACAGGTTTGATAACGAGCACAAATGGCAGTTGCACAATCAGAAGCGTCACCTGACAATGATCTCATTGCCCTGACAAGTGACAGTTCAGGACAAATCATGTCTATTTCGTCTACAGAACAAGCTACGAATTTATTTCATCAGCTCATCGATTCGTTCAAACGTACATCATCCTCTGGAAATGTCTCGATCGAAATGAACCGATCAAAACAAGCAGAAGATCAAGACAGTCATGTTGAAAAGGGAGAAACTGGTTTACATAGAAATTTGAAAAATCGCCACTTGCAGATGATTGCCATCGGCGGATCAATTGGCACCGGTCTCTTTGTTGCCTCAGGCACTGCTCTTGCAACTGGTGGTCCTGCTGCAGTTGTACTTGATTTTGCCATTATCGGTTTTATGCTTTTCAACGTATGTATGGCACTTGGTGAGCTAGCAGTTACCTTTCCTGTCTCTGGTTCTTTCGCCGTTTACGGTTCTCGCTTTCTGGATCCTGCCTGGGGATTTGCTATGGGCTGGAACTATGCTCTCAGTTCGCTGATTACTATGCCACTCGAATTAACGGCAGCTGGAATCGTTATTGACTATTGGAAAACACACGTTAATCTTGCAGTTTGGATCACTATTTTTCTTATCGCCCTTCTTATTATCAATCTGTTCGGTGTTCGAGGTTACGGTGAAGTTGAATTCTGTGTCTCAATCATCAAAGTGATTGGTATCATCGGATTCATCATTCTTGGTATTGTACTCGTATTCCGTGTTGGTCCAAATCATGTTTATTTTGGCTTCAAATATTGGCATGATCCAGGTGCATTCGCCAACGGATTTAAAGGAGTGTGTTCCGTTTTTGTCGCTGCCGGTTTTGCCTTTGGGGGCACAGAGTTGGTCGGTTTGGCAGCGGCCGAAGCGGGCAATCCTCGAAAGACTATTCCTCGAGCGGTAAAACAAGTATTCTGGAGAATAGCTATTTTGTACATGGTGTCCTTGATTCTTATCGGTTGCCTGGTGCCCTACACATCGAGACGTCTTCTCAGCGCATCCTCAAGCTACGACGCGTCTGCATCGCCTTTCGTGATTGCTATTGAAGATGCAGGCATTAAAGTGTTGCCTTCCATATTTAATGGCGTCATTCTTTGTGCAGTGCTTTCGGTAGGCAATTCGTCCGTCTATGCAGCATCTCGAACATTGTGTGCACTTGCCGAATGTGGTCAAGCACCTAAGATACTCACTTATATCGATCGCAAAGGTCGTCCACTTTCCGCCGTCGCCTTGTCGGTGCTCCTGGGATTGATTGCTTACATCAACTGTGCGAATGTCGGTACTCAGGTGTTTACTTGGCTACTCGCTCTCTCGAGCTTATCGTCCTTTTTCACTTGGGGTTCCATATGCGCATGTCACATTATGTTCCGATTGGCGTGGAAGGCCCAAGGTCACACTCTTGATGAACTTGCCTTCGTTGCACCTTTAGGTGTATGGGGAAGCGTTGCCGGTCTTATTCTCAACATACTATGTCTCATTGCTCAATTCTATATAGCTGTCTTCCCTATAAATGACAGTTCAAGTGTCGATGCATTCTTTGAAGCCTATCTTGCTGTTCCCGTTGTCATTATCTTCTATGTCGTATGGAAAATATGGAAGAGACCACCATTCATGCGGCCTAGAACGATAGATCTCGACGTGGGAAGGCGTTTACTTGACACACAGCAGCTGATGGACGAAGAAAGAGCTCAGCGAATGACCTGGCCTCTATGGAAGAGAGTGTATTTCACGTTGTGCTGAATTGTTGTTCATCGTATTTAGACTTATTTTGCTACACGCTGTAATAAACAGTACCATAGAAATAATTGTACCCTTGAAAAACTCGTTGATATTCTATTGAACATAAATTTATAATCAATCACTAAAGCGTAAGATTCATCAATATGTATCTGTCTACATTAGAATTCGAGGGTCAGCTAATGAGGCCACAACGTCAGTCCGAGACTAACATAACGTGTTATCTCAATATCCTTATGTTTGAAATAAGGACAACTCGAATAAATCTTGTTTTCGGCAAGGAATAACCTTACACTAAGCCTCACTCCATTTGATAACGTTCCGCCGCCTATGCCGGAAATAATGCACGCTTATTGAAAGCCATTACAAAAAAAAACAAATTATGAATATATTTGCAAAAATTATGAGAACTATTGAAAAAATAACCGATGATTGATCGCGTTTCAGTACAGAATGATCGTTTCAATTTACCACAATCAATCACTAAATTTAGGAAGCTTTTTTAGAACAGGGTATTCACAACGTAATCGTTTTCGTCCCTGCAAACGACAACTACAGTTACGAAACGTTTACTGTAATCTTCCATTCATGCGCTCAATATCTATTTGTAAAAGATGTTCAGCTACTTGAGTTTCTTCATTATGTTGATCCTCGTTCGCCTCAGTGATACGATGTGACACATAGTGAATTCCCCAACCGACACAATAGTTCATTATTGAGTCACGAATTTGCTTGCGTTCAGTTATTGTAACACTTGTTGCCCCTCTGTGAAAATACGTATGAATATAAATGCGTGGAAAGTTCTGCAATAGTGCAAGATTGAAGTTAAATGGTACATGAAGATCGACTCGTTCATATCGAACACTCTTGATGAATTTCTCAATTTAATAGAATGATTGGCGGCGGTTAACTGCAGAATAATTTTCACTATCTGAGACTTCATGGATCCTATGTGAAACTTGTAGAATGACTACAGAAGGAGTAGTAGTTACCGCAGCACTCATTCGAGAAAAAGAACATGCAAAACGGACAAAAATTGAACTGCTTTAGTACAAAGAATACTCATACAAACAGACAACATTCTGAATAGACTGCCTTGATGATGAATAAGTCACATTTTCAACATCAACTTCTGGTTATCTAAATGTTACTTGTATTTCATTACATTAGGATCTTACCTGAAAGTCCTCAAGAGCTTGTGAGAAAAAGACGATACGAGAAGGCTGAGAAAATTCTTAAGAAAGGTGCCTTGGTAAACAAAAGAAGATTTGATCAGAAGCATATAATAGACTTAAGAGGACTCAAAGAACGGTGAGTAACTGTAACAAATATTTTATTTTGATAGTACGAAACGTATATGAATTATAGAACACAGACACGAAGAAAACTCGAACAAATGTTTCAAATTTGTCTCAATATACGATAATGAGTTTTATTATGGTCAATCTATTTTTATAGTGGTTAGTTTCTATTCACATAAGAATTCATCAATTTTCACTTCCATATCTCACTAGGTTTACTTTATATCTTGTCTTTTATGGTATTTTACAAAATATAGGTAACTGTTAATTTATATATTAATGAAGACGATTATCTATAGGATATATACTTGAAAATCATGGCAATTTGATCCATATGTTTCATTTTGTGTTAATGTATTGATACAATTGCTTGCATATATTGTGTTCCATGTTATATTCGATCAAGTTGGACGAAAACTACCTTATGCTTGTTTACCATAGCATTCAGCATTGTGCCTATGTTAATTATACTTATTCAAAGCTTCGCCAAAGCAGAACAATCGAGTGCGTATGAGAACATTTTATATTAATTTAAACTTTTATTTTAGCCCGTGGAATCAATCTATTTATCATGAATGTCTTCTTGGGATTCCGTGGTATGATCACATATGTTATGGTCCGTCTACTTACTACTGAACTGTTTCCAACAAATGTACGTACAACTGCATTAGGATGCTGTTCAACAGTCGGTCATTTAGGAGCGCTTGTAGGAATATATTACAATGTTTATTAAGTCAGTAAAATCATCTATGGATTTTATGTTTAATAAGAAAATTAATCAATCTTTGTTAGGTACGACTTTCATTCAAACATCCCATTGTACTCTATGAAATGGTTTCATTCATTGCAGCAAGTATAGCTTTATTATTCCGTGAAACATCAAACAGAGCATTGCCACCAATAGTTCAAGAAGCCGCTCGTATGGATCTAGCTTTGTAAGTACAGATATATTGAACTTGTTTCTCATGCTTTCTATCTAAACAGATCATTCAGCGATTGTCTAATTGAGTGTTCTATTTTAGTGAAATATTATGTCGTAGTACATTGAACACTGAATTTGGCGAAGATGATGAGCCTGCTTCACAAGAACTAGCTGAGAATAAAGGCGATGCTAATGACATGAAAATGGAATCAATGATAGAGATTGACAAGAAAGAGACATCGATGCAATAGTATCTATATACAATGAAGTTCATAAATGCATCTCTTTTTTTCTTCTGATGCTTATATTCTGCTGAATTTTTATGATTATAAAAGAAAAAAGATTTTCAATCATGAACAATATCTTTTTGAACTATCTGCAAGTTATAGATTAAATAACAAAAGAGAACTTACCATGCAGGTTACCTTTAGCTCTTTATGTAAATGTGTACTCTAACAGTCGAAACGTCTTGAAGAGATTCGAACGAATATTACAAACAAAGGTACACAGGCATACAATAGAATGCATTTACAACAATGCCATGGCATTCAAGCAGAGAAATATCAATTGTCCATAAAATTTATCCCTCAAAGATGCTGCAACTTACGTTTACACTTATGGTATTAACTTGCTCACTCCATCTTAGTCTTCGCTCCTCGTACATCGATGCTTTAGAATCGAATCAAGCATGTCAAATATCTATTGAATCAAACGTTAGGAAATTTCATACCTTGTATTAGCAAACACAGGTTTTGGGCGTGGGTGATAGTCCTCCATTCAATCTCCCCAGACACCCACACCCACCTAGTTACTGGAACCGGTGCATACCTACCAGGAACAGGCGATCAGATGCTTGTTTCAGAAGTAGGATACAAAGCAATTATGAAACAACATGAAATTATCGTATGATCTGCATATTTTTATCTAATATATAGAATATTTCGACATCTAATAGTTTGTCTGTAACTGTATATTTTTGAGAATTTAAAGAATAAACATTGACTGATAATTTCTGTTAAATCGACAGACTAATGGGAAATAGTAAAATAGTTTACAAATATGTTAACGAATCAATAAATGTCCTTTTGAAAACATCTTGATAGATCGTTTTTTTTTCTTCAAAAATAAAAAAATCCATCGATAGATAAATAACAGTGAGTTGTTCAATGTCTTATTTTCAATCATCGTTACATGTATTATATACGAATAGTAAGCAATTGAACTAATTAATATTAATTTGCAGCATTGTATTTCGTGTGTTTTGACAAGTATTGCATTGAGAAATTCATTCTGTTGTTTGTCTCAAATTTGAAATTTTTTGATATAAATAGCACAATGTAATGACAATGTTGATATTGTTTTATTTTGATTTTTTCGAAAAAAAAAGCTGTATTTTTTTTCTTTGACTAAAAAAAGAATGATTTTACTTTCTGTTTGGTGAGAATTTTGTCGTTCTGTGAAAAGCTTTATTCATACGATTTAATGCACCATACTTTTTTCGAACTTCTCAACATGAAAAGTGTAAACAAACATCGGGTCTGAAGGTATGTAGGAAGTGAAGAATTGATGACGTTTTTTCATTGAATATAAAAACTTCTTGAAATATTCCGCAACATATCTTTCAAATAAAGTTGTTTAAACAGTTTAAAACATATTTCAAGTTCAATAGGAGTTTATCATACTTTCTCAAATGTAAATGCTTTCTTTAGATTTAAAACTTTTTGAAAAACTATAATTTTCTATTTACGAATATGATGAATTGAATAAGTTCAAATGACAAACATTGATTAATTAAATAAGATTCTCTATTGGTTCTAGAGACTATTGCAATAGAATATACATGCATCGCCTTCCAAGACTTCATAAATGATGTTTTTATGCCTATTTCTATTTCACTGAATATGAAACAAAACTTTCAAATTTTTTTCCAATACATAAGATTAATGCATTTGTTTTCATGATTTTTATAGTGATTGCCATCGACTACGTTGAAGAATATGGCAAAATCAATTAGTAAAAATTCAATGGAAAAACCGTTTGGTGTAATCGAACGTAAGGCTGTTAATCCAGTTGGATGTCTTGGTTCTCTCTATGACGGTTTTCGAGATAATATATTTTATCAAACATACCATAAATGTCAAAAACAGTTCTTAGAACCATCTCAACCAGTACAATGTAAAATTGTAAATGGCAGTGTGGATTCAAACTTCAATATACTTGAATGTATTGGTATTGAACCGGAATTACGGCTAAGTTTATTGTTGAATTTAACGAATCGATCTGGAATAGCAGAACTTCTTAATTATCCTCATCGTATAGATCAACATACTCGCTTCTTATACTATTCTTGGATTTATGGTACACAACAATTTCTTGAAAATGAGGTACACGCTCTGGAAAACAGCGCAATATGGAGTACTCTACCTCATGCTACTCATATGATTACCTCGATAACTTTTGGAATTGATGCTGTTATTGTTTTTCAGCTACCAAGAGAAGATACCGTTACCAATAAGATCGATCGTATATTGGAAAAAGTTCGTGACCAGTTTCTGAGAGAAAAAAACGGTATGTTGATGCTTACTTGTAACGAAGACGATTTACTCAGTAAAATTTTCAATACGAAAATTTACTCAAATATGCCTAATTTAACCTGTTTTTTCAACGTTTCTGATCTTTTTTTTGAAATCTATATGTTCAAAAGGTACCCAAAATATATTTATCCATTAAACTACACTCTTCACCCACTCACAACATTATATTCACCTAATAGAACAACAAGTATTATATTGTTGCATCCTTTACAAGCGACAAAAGCTGACCAATTTAGACTTCTGCCTTGTTCACTCACAGACAGTATTGAACAAGGTTTACTGCAATTAAGAAACTTGATTAGATATTTAGATACCTCGCTGGATGAACCTATACCGAGATTGCTGTGTGGACATCTCTTTGACCAACTTCAGAAAGCTCGCATTCAATGGTTCAACCTGACAAATATATATATGAGTAAAATTCAACAAGTTTCTAAACTAGTAATTGATGTCCGCAGTGGTCTCAAGAAAAGTTACGAAATCGATCGAGCGCTTCAGGATCATGTACAACGAACAATGAAAAATGATATCAAAGAATTAATTCGGAATACGAGTCACTTAGAAAAAAAAGGACATTTGATTACAGATTTGCGGCAGCAACAATTTGAATATAAGAATGCAGCTAAATATAACATCGACAAATTTGATAATATAACAACGATTGAACGCAAGCTGATAAATAATGATCAACGTAAACTGATACTGTGTTCCAATGATACTCTAAACGAAAACAATCCTTCAAAACTGATGCACTTACGTCGAATATTACGTCAAAAATTCATAAGTAATTCGATGTTACGCCTTATCTATGCTGATTTTTCCTATTCTTCGTTTCAACTGCATGACATGATAATATTACCATCCAATGAAATAAACTATAGTGAAAATCTTGCGAAACAGCAAATATTCTCTCCAATTAATGGCTCTCCCATTCCTTCACCTTTACCAGTACCACATGAACCAGTGTTAGTGTCAAAAGATAAAACTATTAATATTCTTCTTCTTGGTGAAACTGGTGTTGGTAAATCAACCTTTATCAATGCTTTTGCCAATTATCTTACATTCGATTCCTTTGAACAAGCTGAATCAGGTGAACCTATCGTAATCATCCCTGTCTCATTTATTATGACGGTTGGTGATCATTTTGAAGAACGAACAGTCAAATTTGGTGAACTCGATCGTTTTAATAATGAAAATTTTAATATTGTTGGTGAATCCATAACACAACATTGTAAATCTTATATATTTGGTTTTAAGTATAGTGAAGGTAATAACCGAAGAAAGGTACGTATTATTGATACACCTGGCTTTGGTGATACACGAGGTCTTGATCAAGATGAACAAAATATGCAACATATTTTACAATACATCAATAATATTACATATTTGAATGCTATTTGTTTTCTTCTCAAACCAAATTCATCACGATTACATATCTTTTTTCGTACATGTCTTATTCAATTATTTTCTCTTCTTGATTCAAAAGTTCAGAATAATATTATCTTTTGTTTTACTAATGCACGATCAACTTTTTATACACCAGGAAATACAGGTCCATTACTGAAAATTATGCTTGCATCAGTTTCAATGGATAATATTTCTTTTAAAAAAGAAAATACATATTGTTTTGATAGTGAAGCATTTCGATATTTAGTCGCCTTACGAAATAATATTCCATTTACTGATGAAGAAAAAAAAGAATATCAAATGAGTTGGTCAACATCAGTTAACGAATCCAAACGTTTAATTGATTATATTAATAAAGAACTCATCGAATATCGTATAGAAAATGGATGGCAAACAATTAAACATGCTCAATTTGAAATTTCTTATATGATTCAGCCAATATTAGAAACAATAAGAAATACTCTTCGCAATTTTATTCTATGGAAAAATAAATCGAACCAATTCATTAAATTAATTGCAAAACCTCTTCATTCTACAGCTACTCGTTGTCTTTCGTGTAAAGGTGATCTAAAACAAGTTGTTGAATTTTGGATTTTCTCTACTTATCCACATGCGATGCAAAACAATAGTTGTGTCAGATGCTTGTGTACTCTTGATCAACATGTTTCGATCGATTATGCTCTGAACTATACATATTCGAATATAACTTTCAATAATGTTGAAAATACAATGATCGATATGTTAACTACGTTGATTCATGCAAGTACCAAATTAGCTTATTTTCTTATGCATACAGCGCATTCTACAAAGGATGATCCATTATTGAATGGTTTGATAGAAATGATTGCTGAAGAAACATATATATGTGAAATTAAAATATCAAATAATTTTAATAAGCAATTGCGCGAAGAATTGTCGAAATTTGCAAATAAATATGAACAACAAATGAAGAAAATGAAATTGACTCAAGAGAATATCGATCTACCAACTATCTATAAATCGATTGAAATGATTAAGGGATATTCTATGGTGCATGAACAAATGACAGCTGTTAAGAAAAGACATCGAATGATGATTGAAGAATACGAATATGAAGTGCAAAAGATGTAATAAAATATATTAATTAAAGATTTTTATAATAAAAATTTATCTTAGTGCAATAATTCAATATTTAAATAATACTGAAAAATGATTTAGTAAATTCTCAATTGAATTCGAATTTATTCATCTACATTCGATGTTTCAATGAA